CCCCTGGCGGGGCGCTGCGCCCGCGCGCGGCCCCGCCTTCAGCTCGCCAACACCGACGCGGCGCGCAGCGGTCTGGCCCCCACGGCGGCCCGGCGCGGCTCTTCCGGCAGCGTCCGCTTCGAGCACCCCCCCAAACTGCCCCGCCCGGCTGACCCCCCCTTACTCGCCTCTTACACGCCGCTCTGCGCCCTATATTGATGTTCACATCCCCGCAGCTGCATGATTGACAGCGGCATCGATGCGGTTTTGGTCAAAGTAGCCGCCCTCGGCCTCGACCCCCACAAACACCTTGGCAAAGGCCTCGCCGCCATGCGCCCCGCGCTGCTGTCGCTGCGCGGCCGCTTCGGCTGCAACGTCTGCGGGGAGGGCGGGGAATACGAGACGCTCACGCTCGACTGCCCCGCGTTTTCGAGGGGCCGCATCGTGCTCGAGGGCTGGGAGGTGCGGATGCACTCGCCGGGCAGCGTCGCCGCCGTTGGCGTCCTGCACCCGACCGCGTTCAGGGTCGAGCCGAAGGGCGGCGGCGAGGGCGGCGACGTCGCAGCGGCGGCGGCGGCGGAAGTCGAGGAGGTGCCGGACGGGTGGCAGCCGCCGCCCCCCGCGGCCGCGCCGCGGTTGGTGGCGGAGGCGCCCGGCGGCGCCGCGCCGCCGCCTGTCGGCGTCAGGCTCAGCGGCGCGCACGCGCACCTCGCGTGCGCGCCTGCTGCCCCGGCGGCCGGCGGCGGCGTGCAATCCGATGGCAACGGCGGCGGCGACGCGGCGGCGGCGGCGGCGGTGCATTCAGCCCTGGGTGCGATCGGGGCGCGGCTGCCGGGTCTGGGCCTAACATGGGACGACGCCCTGTTTGTGCACCTCTACTTGTCAGACATGGCCCACTTTGCCGCAGCCAACGCGGCCTACTGCCGCCACCTCCCGGCGCTCAGCCCGCCCTCGCGCGCGTGTGTGCAGCTGCCGCTCCCCGGCGGCGCGCCGCTCGCGGTCGACGTGCTGTTCTCGCGGCGGGCGGGGGCGGACGCGCCGGCGGCGGGGGGCGTGCGGGGGCGGGGGGCGGCGCCGGCGGCGCCGCGGCGCGTGCTGCACGTCCAGAGCATCTCGGAGTGGGCGCCGAGCTGCATCGGCCCATACAGCCAGGTGCGCCCCACTGCCGCCGCCGCGCCGGCCGGCGGGCCTGTGGTTCTGTGTTTGGGCACCAGTACCCCATGACAGCGCGGATTCTTGGAACTGGGGACCTTATCCCGCCCTGATGAGTCTGATCTGAGTGTTGCACTGTGTCCCCTCGCTGGCCTTCTCCCTAACCCCCACCGCCACCAGCGCCCCAACGCGCCCCACAGCTGCGCGCACCCGTCACCGCCTCTTGGCACTCTCCCGCCTGGGTGAAACGATGCACTCTCCCGCCCGCCCAGGCGACCTCAAGTGGCGGCCTCATCCACCTGGCCGGTCAGATCCCCCTCGACCCCGCCAGCATGGCCGTCGCCCCCGGCGGCCCCGCCGCGCAGGCGCGCCTCGCGCTCGCCCACGCGCAGGCTGTCGCCGTCGCCGCCGGCGGCTGCCTCGCCGCGGCGCCGCTGGGGCTGACCGTGTACCTCTCAGGGGCCGCCGCCGGCGCGGAGGGGCGCCGGCTGGTGGGGTCGCTGCTACGGGAGCTGTCGGCCGACCCGGCCGCCTTTGCGGCGCGCGCGCGGCGCGCGCCCGGCGCGGATGAGGAGGGGGCGCCAGGCGAGCACCCGGGGGCCGAGGCAGAGGGCGGCGGCGGGGACGAGGGCGAGGAGGAGGGCGAGGGCGAGGAGGAGGGCGGCTATGTTGATGAGTACCTGCGGCCGCCGCGGACGTCACTGCGGCTGGCGCCGCGGGTGGTGTTCCTGGAGGTCCCCGCGCTGCCAAGGGGGTGAGGGGCCGGCCGGCATTGGGGGTGGGAGGGCTCATGGCGGTCTCGGGGGGCTTGGTTGCACGTGCTGGGCGGCGGGGTGTGAGTT